TCTGTACAAGTGGCCATAGATCTCATGAAAGGCTCAAAATACATTGTCAGATAACTCGAATTTTATCTGAGTGTTAGATCCAAGAAACTCGAACTATTTCCACATACAAGTGATGACTTTTGGTACCTCTTGTACCAAGTCAAAAAGAGACTAAGATGAGCTTTCTTCTGATCACCATCTTTTGAAAAACAGGTAAAAGTCGAAACACCAATATTCAGTTTTTTTTAACACTTCCCTCGCTCCCAACTTTTAACTAACAAAGAGATCAAAACTGAAGAAAATTCATTTGCTAACAGCATCAACAATTTATATTCAAAAAAGAGGACATTGAAACGGCTGCCTCAATAGAGTAGTGGTAGCACGCGCGCCGTGCCATAGGTGAAACGTGGTTCAAACACCTGCTAAGTCGAAAATTTGAGATATAACTCTATATTCTTGTATAATCCAAACATTTGATATTTACTGTTTCGTGCCCCATAATTGAGTCAAAGTCATTCCTTGACATTGCGCATACTGGTTCGACTCTATGGCAGCTACAGCTAGTTTTCCACCTTCTTATCTTACGTCACAGTAATTATACCCTCTTAAAGACAAGGACACACTGCTTCATCGATGTACATACTTTCATTGTTGAAATATTTCTAATAATCAGGTCTATCCAATTTTGGACTCAGAGTAAAGACCAAATGAAAGACCCAAGTACTCAGGTCCTACACGTACGTATTACGTACAAAGACAATTAATCATTTCCATACAAACGATGCTTTTCGAAGCCCTTGTTCCAAGATTGAAATAGGAACTCAAATGGGCTCTCTATAATCAGCATCATCTGGAAAATGCCACTCAAAAGTCGAGATCACCAACACTCATCAGTTTCTAACAAATCTTTCAAATTCGCAAGTGGTGCAGTGGTTAGAGGTGCCTGCGACACCCACGTTGCCGATGATTCGATCCCGCTCACAAGGCTCATCAAGCCTTCCATCCCTCCGCAGTCGGCGAATTTCATACTATATTTGTTCGAGGATAACATCACTGACTTGATAGATCGATGGGCTACCGCAAGTCATTCTGAAGGTCAGATATGCATGCAATCACCTCTAGCGATACTTGATGAGGAAGATCTATCATGGTGCATCTCATAGGGACTGGATCAACGCCTAGAGCTTTGCTCGTTTATTACTTCAACCTAGGATTTTCACTGATAGAGGAACTGAAATCAACATAAAATCCAAACTATTAGCATAGTTAAAGGTCTCGCGTCCCATATTTTAGTTTAAGTCAGTCTTTGATGTCCCGCATATTGGTTCAATTCTACGGCAGCTACGACTAGTTCAAAAGTTCTTATCTCACGTCACACTACGGTAATTTTCTTCTTCGAACATGAATACACCGATTCACTGACGCACATCCGAAACTGGAATATCATCTTATGCAAACTAGTCGACCGGCAGACTGTACACTAATTGACGTCGGTGACAGTTCCATCAGGTGTTCGGCTTTTCATTAGTAGCAGATGGCATTAAGCGACTAAGTGGCCAACGCTACACATTAATGTAGTCAAACAAATAAAGGAAAATCATCAGTGAGACATTGTACGGAAAAAACGTCAATTACTATTTCTTGCTTCAAAAAACGCATTCTTGAAACCGCGAAATCGAAAGTGCTTTAGACTGGACTCTAGGATAGTGGAAAGAATGGAAGGGCGAGGAAGTGGACTTTAGCTTATGCGATAAATTAGATTACTAAAATCAGACACTCTTCTGATCCAGAATAATCTATTAGTAACTATGAAAAGAGAAAAGACATTAATGCAAGCGAAGATGAGTGAGATAACTAGCTTCAATGAGTAATAAAAAGCATGAAAGAGAGAATTAGAAGAGAAATGGAAATTATAAACGGAAAGAAAGACGTTTTTTTTTTCTGAAGAAGACTCACTTCACGGCCGTTAAAATACCATCGAATCGTAGAAGAAGCATCCCGACGTCGTCTTCGAGAACATGAAATCGTCAGCGTTGAACCCAGTGGTTGAAGAATTTCCCGTGGCAATGGTTTTAACAATGGTGCATCTAAAATTTTCCTCTCTTCTCAAATGACTTGTCAGTGGAATGAAGCGACAGAAAGAAAGTCCCAGTTATTAGAAAAAGTGCTATTGGGATTTGTGATGTAGAACTCACCAATTACATTAATTGTCAGAGATCTCTGATCGAACAATACTCCAGAAGAGGCGTCTACTTTACAGTCCAACTTATACTCCAACTGACCCTATAATATTGAGTGATAGGTGAATCAGAGACATTTTTGAACTGTCAAACATTGTAAAGTAATTTTTCACATGTAAACTGCAAACATGTCATCTGCCCAAAACTGAACCGAGCACAATAAGCTGAATAATATCAAAACAAACAAGATTTCGAGTTGGATACAATGTACATACAATAAAGATAATTACACATTCTCAAACAATTTCCATGCTCCTATATACGCATATACACGTATATATACACGTACATATAGATGCACATGTATGCATTTACAAATACATTGTACATCATTATGTATATACAAATACTTATATACACATGCATTTATGTATATGTATATATGCAGGAGTTTTGAGCTCAAAAATGTTTATCAAGATATAAAAGGTTGAGAAGCTTTCATATTACTTATATACATATATATATATATATATGCATGTATGTATGTGTATACACATGCGCACATATATATATATATATATATATATATATATGTATATGTAAACATCTGTAACATGTATACATACATATATATGTATATATTTATATATAGATTTATGCATATATACGTACATATTACATGTAGGGCATGTATATGTACATATACATATATACATATGTATGTAAAAGTTCCATGTTGAGATATAAATGTAGACATATAAAAGGTTAGAAAGATTCCAAACCAATTAAATTTTTAATAATGTTTTATTTATCAAGCACAATTTGATATTCTACATAATTATATTATAGCCTAACAACGTTTTGTTATATACGTGTAAATTTGATATGTTTTAAAATCATTTCACTCATTTCTGAAATTTATTTACTTATTACTTATTGGAAGCTCAAATTTATCATTATCAATTTTTTGTCTCTCGAAAAAAAATCTCAGAGGAGATAAAAAAAGGTTCAATTGAGGAAACTCTGAAATGATCCCTAGAAGATATACATTGTTGGGTGCATCCGGGAATCCGAATAGTTAGGCGACGATTACTATGAGATAATTCGATGCCAGTTTCAGTTCCAGAAATTGCCAGTCCATTCATAAACCAACGAGTTCGAAACTCCATCTCTAAATTGTGCAAGGTTTTCTACCTATTGGGAGATCATTCAGAACTCACGTTAAATTCTCTCCTGCACATTCCAATATGTTTTAAGAGTAGAAGAACCTTGACATAATTTTCAAAACAATGTGGATAGGGAGCGAGTACAATTAAACGCGGAAACGTACTTCAAGGACGAAAACACAATCGAACGATTCGGCTTTCTTCAACGAAAAATCAGAGAGAAGAATTTTTCTACTGTCGGAAAAATAGACTATGGTCGAGCCAACAGCTGAGTCACTGAAATATTCAGAAAAATGCTCAATAGCTAAACTTGGAAAAAGGAAAACTTGGAAAAACAAAACTTCAAGAAACAGAAAATAAAGTAAAAGATTGTGAAGAACAATAATATATGCGATAAATAACTAATGGAAGCCTAACTTAAACCTAAATATGTATGAAGAATCGATTTGAACAAAAGTATAATCAGAAACTCACGAAAAGAACTTCAGCTCTGCGAACCGTGAATACATCGGATACCGCTTCGCTAAGTCCATCGACAGAGGTGACCACCTAAATTCATTTCTCATATTTGGCCTTATATTGTCACAAGAATGCTTCTGATCTGGTTAAATGAATAAGGTTAATAATAATAATACTTCACCTTATAGTTTCCAAAAGACGACTGTGCCACATCTATAACGACCAAATTCTCCTCGAGATGTTACATAATGTGAATCGTCCGGGAGCACCTTCAAGAAGTAAAGATAGGAAAAAAAAAGATTGTGGGTAACAACATGTATCTAATCCAAAATCTATAAAGGTCATTGGAACAAACACTCAGACTGGTGGAAAAGCAACTTCAATACTCATTACCGCTAGGGAACAAACTGTTACTTTGCGAATTCGGGAAGAGAAATAAGAGTACTCATATTAGGTTGTTCCATAAGTTTTGACACTAGAGAACTAAGCACCAAATTTATTAACTAAAAGTGATTAAAATTGTATGATTTTGGTCTCGCTCGAAAGCGCATTTTCTGCAGAGCATTTTGGTACACAACTTCTCTATACTTGCTGTGAGATGGGGCTGTATTGGGGACAAATTCGTTGACTAGTCATGCACGAATGACGCGTAGGGGCAAAAATGCTAGTGAAGGGGTGCACAAGTATAGTGGAGCTTCGGGTGATAATGCGGTTGCAGAAAGGACGGCTAGGAAGTGAATCGTGAAGTTCAAAGCTGGGGAGAACTGTCTGAAGGATCAGTCGCGCTCAGGCCGTCCACATGAAGCTTCACTATTCCTGCGCACCGCTTCACTACCATTTTCCCCTATGCGCCATTCATACCTGAGGTAGTCAGCGAATCTGCTCTCAATAGCTCTATCTGGAAGCAATTATGGGCAAGTTGTATAGCAAAATGTTCATAAGAAAATTAGCAATTGAATGGTACCAAAATCAGGCGACTTTTGATTACTTTTGGTTGAAAATTTTCGGTATTTAGTGCTCTAGTGCAAGAATTTATGAGAACAACCTAATGAAAGACGCTGGGAGCCACTAGCTCTACTACCAAGAAACGATTCGATTACAGAAGGATAGTGGAAGACAGAGCATCACAAAAGCGAACGAAGTGGAACTAGGCTACAGGTTGATAAAAGAATAAAAAACTGGTGTGGTAGCGATAGAAAGAGTGGTGTCAAAACAGGCGTCGGTGGTGCAGACAGTTCGAGCACATGCCTCCAGACACGGTGAAATGTGGGCTCGAATCCCATCTGACGCACAAAAGTTTTTGCACATCACTCTACATCAATAGGTATATTTATTACATCATATCACCGTAGAAGCGGTTAAATTAAAAAAGGCTAGTTAATGAAAAAAACAAAGCTCTGACGTTGATCAAGTCCCTAAAAGATGAACCATGCATTCGACTTCACTTAGCATCATTTTGAGGTGATTGAATGCACATCTGGCTCTTACAATGACTCGCAATATCTGATCGATTTGTATCAAGTCAGCGCTGCTATCCTCCCAAACGAGTTTGGTACCAATTCACTGACCCCCTAGGGACGGAGGATTGATAGTCTTATGGTGCGGGATCGAACCACATTGGGCCATCGCAAGGCAGCTTTCAACACTGCGCCACCTGCCTCGCCTCATCAGATAGATGCAGCTTGAATGGAATGAGAAACAATGAGACTGCGATTACTATCGTCTTCATGCAATACTGTAACAAATATTCAACGACGAGATATTTCATTACCTTTACAAGTAGTCTACACTAAGACATCCATAAAGTTGAGTGATACAAATCTGAATGACTTAGAGTGATAATGCGAACAAAAGCCGCGGTAGTGTAGTGGATAACACGCGCTTCCGGAAGGGGTGAGACGTGCGGGTTCAACTCCTCTCTAGGTTCAGCTTTTCCGCATCACACATCTTTGGATATATGCCAAACTCCGCTACAAAGAAGCGGCGCATAGAAGAATTCCTGAGGATTATACCAAGATAATTACGATAACTTCGCACTGGGCCAGATAAGTGCACCGACTTAAGCTTCGTGAATTTCTCCAAAATTCCTCTCGTTCAATCAACCGGATCAATATTAGTACAACCAACCGTTCCGCTAACTATACATTGTCACAGTTTCTGGTGTGGGCTGGTGAACCTGTTTGTTCCAGAGCAACGACCAGTACAAAGACCCCATACGTTCCTGCATACTGTCGAACCTCTTTCTCAGTATTTCTGTTTACACAAGACGGACAACTATCATCAACACAATGCGTAGAGCCTCTCGTACTATGCGGTTTAGATCAAACAAACCCGCCTGCCTCCGTCAAGGCAGGAAGGAGAACAGATAAGAGCTGACTACTTCATCGCCCATCTGTTGATGTGTACGCTGCCAAAACAAACGTCAAAACCAGCCTCCTATAGTTTTAAATAACGGAAGGTGAATCACATCAAAAGGCTCCAAAAAAAAAAAGAACGAAGAAAGGCCGACATCTCACACTAAGGAAAGTGATCGTCGATTCCTATGATTGACTGACTATCTATTGATATCGGCGTAGATTGAATAATCATCAACCAGATACATTTCTGGAAGAAAAAACCTTGCGAAGGATCGCATGAAGTTTTCACGAGCTTCAAGATCGACTCCGTTACAAAGCCTAAATTCAGATTATTCATTAGGCATGAACATCAAGATGTATTGAGATCATCAGCACCTGCTTTTCTTCAAGCACCATCTACAACAAAGGTCTTAATCCTTTCGCGACCGTGGACCCACGGCCTCCGCATCTCCAACTGGCAATTCTAAACGGTCTGCTTCACCTCCTCTGGTTCCCTAACCTCTCGTGTGCTGCGTCCAACGGCGCTGGAGGTTAGAGATGTAGAGGCGGTTGAGCAGGACCATGCAGAATTCCCAGTTAGAAATGGAAAGCTGTGGGCCCACGGTCGCGAAAGGGTTGATGGCGATGTAGACATCAATTTTCGCATTTTTTTGAACGAAACTCTTAGAAAACTGATCACCAAGCCACTTTGCACTATAGGATTGCGTTGTTGCGAAATTATCAAGTAACGATTGTAATTAAAATCTGACGTTTAAGAAAGTTAGGGTAAAAAAAGACAAATACATATAGAAAGAATCTGAATAACCTTAAGCGATACTTGAACACTTCTGCGACCAGTCGTTCGAACCATCAAATGGTTTCAATTGTTTTCCTCTTAATTCCAAAGATACGAGACGTCTGCGCTGGAAAATAGGCGCGTGCGTAGGCCTTTTTTCCGGAGTTTCGATAGCCCATTTTTTCTTTACTTTTGAATCCTTTTGTCACTTCACTTTAATTGGGTACTTTTTTTTTCAAATAAAATCTCATTCTCAAAAAAGCTCTTGCCCCGTTCTAATCCTACAACAATTAGACTGCGCTTATCTATGGAAATTCTAGATTAATTTAGAACATTTTCTCCAGTTTCTTTTATGATTTAGCACATATCACGAGGCTGAGGGTGAACAAAGGTCAGTTTTCAAGAAATTATTGCGATTTCTACCAATTTCTCCGCTTTGTTTCTTGCTGTGGGAATCAATATATGGATTCCTTGATGACTATCTGGGAGAACTTTTTTGTTACATAATACTAGAATCGGACTTTTGTTCACGTTGAGACTGACCCATTTCGCCTCAGAAAACGAGTTCTTTCGAATTTAATGCTTTATTATAAATTAATGATGACTATAGGCACGGTTTACACCTTTAGAGGACGACGTATATCATTTTCGTTACACAATTTTTAGCCTTTTTTCATGGACAAGGCTTCTTCACTAGACTTTTAGTACCCAGTCGATAGTTCTAAAAACGGTGATTTCAATACTATGCGTGGTTTTTGAAAAGACCTTCTTATTGGGCTGTAGCAGTCAATAAAGGATTATGTTTCACCTTTAGTTTTGCGTTCTATGATCGGCTCTCATCTGTGTTTGTCCTTTCACAAGACTTTTAGTAGTCATTCGATAGCTTGGAAAATGACAAATAAAACAGTGGGCTTGTTTTCTCAAAAAACCTTCTTAGCGCGTGGTAGCAACGAAGGCAAGATTACATTTCACATTCAGAGTTTTCTTCACGCATCAAAAGTATATATAGCACTAAAGGCTAATGGGTGTGCAGAGTAAATTGTGGAGTGCCAAAGTAATTCGAAGAACTTGCAGTATTTCCGAACTGAGGGAAAAATCCTAATTTTACAACGAAATCCCGCGCCATTTGTGTTGAGCTGAGCGCGGCGATTTCAACTACAATCTCCGAAGAGTTAGAGAACATCAAACGAACAATAAGAGATGTCATGATGAAAATCCATAGAGAATTCCGTAGAAATTCCATCCACTATTCGCCGTCGTTTCCAACTTGGACGATAACTTTCACGAATTAATTCCTCGTCATATGTGATGAGGAGAACTTTATAACCCCATTCTCCATAATTACATTGACTTCCTAGAGGGCCAGACAATCGATAACAGCAGGAACAATCTGTTGCCGCTTGAAAGAGTCCTCAAGGGACTCGCAAGAGGCACCAAACTCTTGTTTCTTTCAGGGTCAACCAGAGCAGCCGACTGATTTGCCAGTGGTGAAGGCTTGGGCACGTTCTGGCACGGTTACCTCAGATTATAGCAAAAATCTTTCCCAACCAGTATTCAGCAAGTCAGTAGAGAGACAGGATGACAGATAGGTTGGCAAGTTGAATCTGAATCGACAGACGAATCCTAGAATCCTGTGAAGGACGATGATAAAACAATGGGCGAAACAAATCGATTACTGTGACGTCACTACATGCAAATAACCTCGAGGTTGGTACGTCAGTGGCTTACACACGTCTCCACGGTGTCGTCCGCTTCATCAGAGCCACACGCCCCACACTGAACCCTATTTCATACCAGGAATGGGGAGACGAGAGAAGAGACGCTATCATTAACCACGATCACGAGCTATTACCATAAACGTCTCCTATTCCTACTATAAAGTAGGTTTCAGTGCGGACCTGTGGACCCCTGACGAAGCGAACGATACCGCCGAAACGTACGTAAGCCACTAATGTAGTAACCTCGAAAAGGCTTTGAAAATTCACAAAAAATTATAAAGAATGTTTATAAATAGTCCACTTGAAGGTTATATAAGCATCTATGTAGATAACTTCCACTCCAAAAGTCATCACAACTAGACAAAGTGACTATCAAATCATGCATAGAGTGGCCGTGTGTACGTTATAGCCTAACGGAAATGCTACAGATACGTGAAGTTTGATCTACAAGAGCTTCGTTTATTGTCAGATTTTACAGCAATAATAACGCCATAGTGCAGTAGATAGCACGCGTCCGCCTCTGGAAAGGGTGAGACGAGGGTTCAACACCCGCCTGAGGCTCAAGAGTTCTGCATGTCAGTCAACATTCAGGGTTATGAATGAATTAGGGCTCAGATTTACATCCTGTCCAGATAGCTTGGGGAAAACACATGCTGATGTCAATCGACAGACTCTTCCGTGAAGCCATCCACTCTGAACTGAGCAATCCCACCATTCACCCATCGTGGGTCAATGAGAGAGACAGCAATCAGCGTGATCGACAATTGCCTTTTCAGTCGAATGGAGGGGGCATTAGCATAAACAAACCGCAAGAACACTGACATAGTGGAAAGCGAACGAAAGAGAGAGCATCTAGAAAATGTCAGCCAGTCGAAAGAAGTATAAAAAAAAAGGGAAAAACCAGAGAAACTCAGAAACTTTGAATAAAAGACAAGGAGTTAGGATATTTATCCTCAAGCGCTCACCTGTTTATCACCATTGTACCAAAAATACGCCGCATTAGGCAATGGATCGTCGCTAGCAATCAGTGCAGGTCTTCGGATAACAAAATATCCTCCTTCGTTTGCAGAGATCACTTTCTCGGAGGATCTGACTCCTCAAATCCATCAAGATCTATAAAAAAGAAGCGATTCCCACCAAGATCTTTGCGGGAAATGATGAATGAAAGGAGAAAAAAACACACAAAAATGACGGAAATTAGATACTGAGAAGTGATGAAAGAACGATTGAAAATGATAAGACCTCAGAACAGAAAAAAAAGGTGTATGAATGTGCTTATAAATTATGATTTTTCGTAGAGTTTCCGGGAAAGAAAAAAGAAAGCAGAGAACACTTCTCGGTTCGCCTTTCTACGGTCAGCCCCAGCTGACAAAACAAGTTCTCTTTCCCTAGACCGACCAGACTGTCTAGTGACCTCGGCCACGGAAAGAATAGGTTGGAGGTCACCGCTGGGATCATGAATATATTTGCTGGATAGACTACGAATTTGACTTTTCAACGCTCTGAAGAAGGCCATAGAGACCAAACCACTTGTTAATCATTCATCGTACCTTGTGGTTATAAGGGGACAAATGAAGAACCAACTCATTCGCTGAAGAGGAACCTTTCATAGAGTGCTAGTAACACGTTTGAAAGCTGAGAATTTCTAGCTACAACCTCACGTCGCCGGTTTTTTCAAACCAAGCTTTATAACGCTGTAAACCCCAAAATAAAACTACCTCAGAAACAAATATTTCTCGCCGGACAGAGCTCTATCCTGAGACTATTAGCAACCATGCTTAGCAATCATGCAATAATCCAAAGAAAGGGCTCTGTCCGGCGAGGAATATGCGCGTCTGAGGTTAGTTTTATTATGGAGTTTAAAGCGTTATGAAAGGGTGTTTGAAGAAACTGGCGACGTGAGGGCTGTAGCCAGAAAAGCAAGCTTTCGATTGGTTACGCAAACTCCGGTGAAAAGTTCCTCACCACCGAATGAGGTCGGTTTTTCATTTGTCCCTTATAACCACAAAGTACCGATTTCTCTATCCTACTGGACTCCACCCAACAAATCCTACCTACTAACCCTTCCAAGGAATAAGCCTTTTTTTGTTGAGTACGGCCTTTACCACAAACTTTCTACCACGATAGCTTGATAAACGACGATTCCAATACCTCACTTGATTTTTGGAAAAATCTTTTTAGGGCGCTGAAGCGCGCAAAATTAAAACTCAGTTTAAGCCTTGGTTTGCTCTGCGACTCGGCTCGGTACAGGGTTTGCGGATCGCTTGCCCTTCATTGATAATCATTCGAGTGAAGCTTTTACGTAAGAAATTTTGAAAATGGGTTTGCCATCCGGATAGGTGTTCGTCATAGGGCAATCTAACCCCTTTGGTACCACGGACCCACCTCCTCTGCATCTCTAACCTCCAGCGTTGCCATGCTGGACAATTTGCCCCACGTCCTCTGCATCTCCAGCCCCCAGCATGGGAACGCATTGAATGTTTTATTGTATTACTCCAGTTGTTTTATTGTTGCTATTGTCGTTTCTTGTTATATGTATATGTATGTATTATATTATATGCAAAAATATTGTTTCTATAAGTGGGAATATTACAACAATAATACAGTTGAAATAATATAATGACACATTCAATACGTTGCGTTACCATGGTGGGGGTTAGAGACGCAAGAGAGGTGGAGCAGATCGTTTAGCGTTGCCACGCCGAGGTTAGAGATGGAGAGATGAGTTCACGGTTCCGAAAGGATCAAGATCGGACGACATAGAGGTGCAGTGACAAATCTGTGCCCGCCGATGAAGCGAGGAAAAGGCCAGTGTAGCGTTTTGGTACACTTGGTTCCCAACGCGTTAACAACACTGCCACTGCTCATCGAGGAAAACAAGTTCTCCTCTACGAAGAAAGGAGGAAAAAGAAAGAAAATTACTCAGAACCTACATTGTATTCGAACTCGAATGCGGTGGTGATAACGTGGAGGCGACGGAATTCGACGCCACACATCGATAGATTCCCGAATCATTTCGACTTGTATGGGCGATCTGGTAGAGTGCTGGATTCGACGGAAGTCAGTTGGCCGTTTGAAGCCACTGGATTCTCTCCGAGTAGTCGACCCTAGGGCACTTCAATAGCAGCGATTGACCCTCACTGAGGAGAATCGACGTCGGGCTATCTTCGTCGTCCAGAAACGATGGCGGTCGACCGAGTACTAGTTGCGATCGACAACTAGATGGAGTAGTAGTAGCAGTAATGGAGCAGTAAATAAATTAATTAACAATAATTTGAAAGCTTTGATCGATCGCCAGCAGATCATGTCACCATCTGCCACTGCCACAACAACAATTGGGTTCCTCTGAAAGTAAACCGATTGAAACCTTTCTCATCTGACCGAAATCGATCGATCGATAATGAATCGACTAAACATTATCTGATAAAGATATCGATCGAATGAAAGTACATACACTAAGAGGAAAAGCGATTGAACACCGATAGCGATCGAAAAAAATAGGTACATCAAGAAAAAACGATCAGGAAATTTCGATCATTGCAAAGTATATATCCGAAGAAAAATGAGATTGTACATCGATATCGATCGCAAGGAAGTCAATCGATTAGATCTCATCTCGTGGAATTATCGATTGAAAGAAAGCGAAAACACGGGAATAAAGAGATTGAATAGCTACATCGATCGGAAGGGGGTAGATCTGAGTGAGAAAGAAACAACTCTGTTGATTCTGCCTCAAGAGTGATTAATGAAACTGCTAAGATCGACTGGCAGATCAAAACCTCATTTAAAACCTGATTATCAGGATTAAAATGGGTTAATGAACTTCATTTGGCTCACCGTGACAGCGGGTTTTAGCCTTTGCTGAGCTGAATTGGAAGTGCAGATTTCATCGTTTTTCAAAGCTTTTTGAGAGGCCTGATTGTGAGCTTTCAGACCCATTAGCAAATCAATATCAAAAATCTAGAGAACCAAGTAAAAATTTTAAGAAGATAGAATAAGAAATGAGAAAATAAAAGATAAAAATAAAAACAATAAAAAAAATAAAAATATAATATATATAGAATAAAATAATAAAAATAGAATCTGAAGAACAGAATAAGTTTCACAAAGAAGAGGGCAACGAAACAAGCGAGATTTTCGGTAATGAAACCTTTTTGTTAAAATGTTTCCTCTAATTTTTTCAAGAATAAGAAAAAAACAAGTGAATCATTAGGAATTACAACTAGTAAAGTGTTTAGAATTACTGAAACTCATTGACTATTTTTTAGCACAGACCGCTCGTATCCATGAGCATCTTTATCGACTATTGTGAAATTTTATCTCTGATTCATTTCCTAAAATCAAGCCGAAAATCAATTTTATTTGACGGCCTATTGCGGTGTTATGATGTTTCTTACAAACCCAATGATGTAGAGTGGTGTGCAAACAACGTTTGCGTCAGCCGGGATTTGAACCCAGATCTGTTACTCTTCATTCAATTTTTATTTATGTACACGACCCCGTATCCACAATTTTTATTGTGCGGATCCCAGTACTTCTAGCATCCAAATCGTTTTTTCGTCTTCTTCTTGAACGCCGTTAGAAATACCGGTCCGAGCATGTCTCCTTGCATATCTCGAGGATAGCCAGGCTGTGGCGTTCCATAGGGTGTTCTGTTGACTGCCGGAGAAGGTCGGTGGTAGAGCTCAGCTCCAACACGCGCAGTGACCAACATCCCAACCACTCTGCTTGACGCCCCATCTTTAGAACTTTAGGGTATAAAAAAATAGATTTACATACTGAGAAAAGCACCTGGGGAAGTCAGATATAAAACTGTACTACTGGAATTAAAATCAGACTACTAGGAAAACTCCTTCGCAGACTTATGACGATCAGAAAAAGCCTACGATCAAACCTCCACGGCCTTATTTCTAGTAGAAATCACCCTTCACAAACAGGAAGAAATTTTCCAAAATAGCGACAGTTTCTGAAAGAAAGTCGATCAGGTCATCTATCAAAATATCGATCGACAGAAAGATACGATCGATCGATCGATCCATGAAGTCTTATGTCGCGAGAATATCGTCGGTTAGGAAAAGTACATGTAGAGGATAAAGAAGATTGTGGTTGCTTCATGAGAGAGAGAGACGCATCGTCCGATAATAATCTCTTCAACTGGTGGTAATCAATAATAATGGTTACTTCGTTAATTAGGTCGATCGATGAATTAAGATGTAATCTAAGAGAATTTCTTCTTTAAGCCTTCCAGAGGTCTCTTATGGCAACTCGAGTGCTGAACGTACGCTTTGCCTTTCTCGGAAGCCTGAGATGTACTCCGGCCAACATTTCAACGTTTTCGTCTTCTTCGGAGTTGATTACCCGAGTCGATGGATTATTTTCATCAACAAAAACTGATGGCAGAATAAGAGCCTTAGCAGCGCAATTGGTTAGCATGCGTCTCGCAAAGGGTAAAGTGCGGGTTCGAACCCCGCCTGAGATCAAAGTTTTGCATACTACCCAACATTTGTGGATGTATGATCTTATTTCTATTAAACTCTTGATACTATCTAAATCATAAAAGAAACTATGATTGATTGATAATACTGAGTTCAAAGGAAAGTCTGGTTTTTAAATCACCATAAAATGAAATAGATAAAAGTGATTTAATTTTTACAAAAAAAAAGGACGCACCAACACACGCGCTTTTCGGTGGTAAAATATTTCTTCGAGTTTTTTTTTGTTCTAATTTCATCAAAAATAAGAATAAATAAAAATTACTAAATATTCTGAGATAATAAAATAACTGAAAAAAAATCGCTAAAATTACTATTAAGTACTATTTTCGAGCACAAACCGTTTTTAGCTATAGAATTTTAGGCAACTAGTAAATTATCCTACGCGATATCTTCAAACTATTACTATTCGACAATTATCACTCATTTGTGATTTGTCAGTAATTATTATTGTTATTGTTGCTATTAATATTAATTTAAGTTAAACCCGATGATGTAGAGTGGTGTGCAAAAACGTTTGCGTCAGCCGGGATTCGAACCCAGATCTTACTCTTCCCACGATAACGCGTTGTAGCGTGGAAAGAGTGGAGTGCAAAACGAGCGTCGGTGAGTGCAACGGTTTAGCACATGCTCCAGGAAAGAGTAGGATCTGGGTTCAAATCCCGGCTGACGCAAACGTTTTTGCACACCACTATACATCATTGGGTTTATTCAAACTCCATAACACCACAATCGGCAGTCAAATAAAGATGATTTCCGATTATTTTAAGTGTTATTCGGCTATTTATTCAACTTAGAACATCGACCGTAGAGAGGATGGGGACGTCGGAACATAGTAGCCGAATTTATCTTACTTTTTGTATCACAGAGAGAGTGATAGCATATCAAGAGCCTCGGTGGTGCAATGGTTAGCAAGCGCCACCGGAAAGGGATGAGCAGCGGGTTCGATTACCTCATGAGGTCCATAGTTTTGTATATCACTCATCTCATGTCACTTCGTGGTATCACCTGAGCATCATGTCTTTCTTCTTCTTCGGCTTTTCGTGAAGAAATCGGTCCATCGGGCCGGTGGTCTTCCCGTGAAGCGCTTGATATCCCGAGGAATCCAATCGATAGCTCGTGATATTGGGGATATTGTCCCGAAACTATTATTGATCGGTAATGCGAAGGTTAGGGGAAATCGATTTCTTGATTAGTAATGGAATGATTTCGAATTGAATCTGGCTAAGAGACGAAAAAAAGAGCAAATGATTCATTCGAATGACGAAGATGATAGGGTCGGTTCCCACGTGAATGACAATAACAATGGCAATCTGTAAAGGATGAAAGGGGAAGGGAAAAAAAACGAGAACGAGAACATTTTAGGGAAAATTGTTCGTCTTTGAATGAAAATCACTTATGATCGCTCAGGAAATCGAATTGGAATCGCGGGAAAAAAGAAACAGAACGAAGAAGAGAACCTTTGAGGGCAATTCTCAACGAAGAAACAGCGTCAAAGTCCCTAGAAAAAACAGTTTCAATTACAAAAAAATCAAATCAGAAGAGAAAGAACACAAAGTATAGCTACTCCAAAGACTTTCGACGAAGGAACAGAATCAAATTCTTAGAGAAAACTTTTGATTACTGAGAAATCAAGACAGAATTAGAAGGATGAAGAAACAACCTTTCAGAAGAAAAATTCTCATCAAGAAACAGAGTCGATTGCCAAAGTAAATTTTTGATAACTGAGAAATCGAACAAGAATCAGAAACAAAACCAAAGTATAACCACTCTAAGAGATTCCAACGATGGAATAGAGTCAAACTTTCTAGAAAAAACCATTTCATTTACAGAAAATCGAACCAGAAGGAAAAGAAAACGAGCAATACCCTCTGAGAAATTTTCCACCAAGAAACAGAATCAGATTTCTAGAAAAAACTTTTGATTACTGAGAAATCGAATCAGAACCAAGAAATAAAACGAAGAGAAACTTTTGAGAAGAAAATGTCGCACCAAAGAGAAGAGTCGATTCCTAAAAAAAACTTTTGTTAGCTGAGAATCGAATCAGAATCAAAAACAGAACCAAAGTATAACCACTCTACGAAAATTTCAGCGAAGAAATTAAGGTAGATTTCTGAAGCAAACTGTTAATTACCCTAAGATTTCATGGATCAGAGAGTTTGATTATAGCAAAAAAAAAAAATAAAAGTACAAACACGCGACGCTTTTCGATAATAAAGTATTTTCTCAAGATTTCTTGGGAAAAAGTTTTTTTACTAAAGTGAAAAGACGAAAAAATCCAAAAGTAAGGCTTAGGAGTACATGAAAATCCGGAAAAAAAGTGTACGTACGTGTCGACTTCTCAGCGTAGACCACTCCTATCTATGGACTTTTAGGGTATTTCAAATCGAATCAGAACGAAAAGAAAATAAAGAACAGTCCCAGAGGAAAATATCTTTAGATAGTCATCAATCAATCTATACACTGATTTCCAGAGCAGGAAACAAATTGGGAAGTTGGCAGAAATCGCAATAAAACCGTGAACATCAACTTTTCTTCTGGCTCAGCCTCATGGATGTGCTAAATCATAAAAGAAACTGGAGAAAGGTTTCAAACTTTAGAGTTTTGAACTCCCGGAAAGAGTGATATCTCGTTCGAATCCCGGCTGACGCAACGTTTTGCACAGCACTTCATATTATTTGGGTTTCAAACTTTTGAAATTCCATAGATAAGGCGGTTTAATTTCTGCAAAAAGAAGGACGGACAGACACGCGCGCTTGTTTGATATTAAAATATTTTTTGAAGAAAAAAGTATCAAATTAACGTGGGGAGAAACGAAAAAAAAAAAGTAAAGGGGAAATAGATATAAGAAATACCGGGAGGGAAAAGGGCATGTCCGTGTCGAATTTTCCAGCAGAGATCGCTCTTATCTATGGAATTTTAGGGTATGTGAAATGGAATTAGAGGGAAAAGAAAATGAAGATCACTCTCTGAGAAGAATCATCACGGATCGGAGATGTCAAAGGCAGAGGCACATTCTCAAAGAAAAGAAAACCTTCAATTACTCAGGAAATGGAATCCGGTACAACTACAAGGAAAATAGCCAGGAAAATTTTTATTCCAGCTCTCTTTTAGCAGAATCTATGATGTTGCAGTTATGTAGTCGATAAAAGACAAAACAAACAAGGAACAAACAACAAAGAACTACCCTCTTTTCCCACCCCGACCCCTTAAGAAAACACGCAAAAACAGAGTCAGATTCACGAGAAAAGTTTCGCTTACTAGGAATTTGAATCTGAATCTGAAGCAAAAACGAAGCTGAACCTCTGGGGAAGAAAATTCCCACGAAGAAGTCAGAGTACGTTTCTCGAATAAAACTTTGATTCAGTGTGTTTGTAACGAAAGTATTAGACTGAGTGCGTGGATCGCGAGTCATTTTGACCTTTCGAGGCTCCGAAGAAGGGAAAACCGTCGAAACCATTAGTCATCCGTCCATTATTCTATTGTGTTGAGTGGTTTTCAATGAACCCGGCGGTGACTGTTCTGATGCGATAACGACCTTAGGAACCCTCAGCTGGGCTTAGCTCCGGACCTAAAAGAAGCAAACAGCTAAACCAGCACAGTTTCTCCTGTGTTAGAGCCCGTACTATCAGTGAAGACGGGCCGTCCAAGTATCCAAGTAAGTATTATTATAGAGGGTGGTGCAACGGTTAACATACGCTCCCGTAAAGAATGAGATCTGGGTTCGAATCCCGGCTGACGCAAATGTTTATGACACAGCACTCCACATTATTGGGTATATTACAAGATCATACCACCGCAAGTGGCGGTCAAATAAAAAGAACTCCATGAGTATCCATACACATGAATATTACCAAAAAACTAGATATTTATATATAGACGGCAAAAATGAACATTTAACCTTATTCGCGGGACAAGTATTTTCCGTAGGAATGTTAGTGAACATATGCGTGTTATCCGCGGTGAGCACGAAAACCATATGAACATATAAAGAAAATCTCGTATTATCTGATTCAATCGTTTTGCGTGCAGTTTCTTCCAAAGCTGAGAAAAATTCCCGATTGAATAACAATTTGCATCCCACATGTCTAACACTTTAGGCCATCAATCGATCGCCCCGCCCATGAGTCCGTAGATTAGCCGGTAAACAAGCTCGCCGAATATGTGAAACTCGATTTCATTTTCCCTGGTACATTGCAATAAAACGGTCTTCGCAAAAAATAGGCATAGCGTTCGAATCAGTGGGACTTAGGCTATCGTATGATTACCAATAATCTAGGGAAAGAGCTCTGTCCGGCGAGGTGTTAAACACAAACGTTTTCTCTCTTCTACAGCGCTATCGAAAGAGCTTCCCCAAAAGTAAGCAGATTTTTATGTTCTTCGAGACCTGTACTGTGGAAAGAGTACTAACAATCTAACGAAAGAGTTTTGTCTAGCGAAATATAAGCGAGACAAGAAAAAAAAACGCGTGGTCGCTGTAAAACATAATTTTATTTCGGATTTTATAGCGTTATAAGAGGGTGATTAAAAAAAACCGGCCATGTACGGCTCTAGACAGAGATTTCAGCTTTCGTTTGATCACTGACACCTCTATGAAAAACTCTTGTCCAGCGAATGAGGTCGGATATTCAATTGCGGTCGTTTAACGGAAAAGTACCAAAAAACTATTTTAGATGGAACGTCGAAACAACTCTCAAGCTCTCTCAACTTCTTACAGAGAATTTTCAACAGAATCCGCACAGTGTAAGAAGATAATCAAAGAGAAATCGAATACGGCGCTAATGTGAGCTAAGATTTGCTCTGCAAACTTACTTCATATACTTACATATGTGTTTTTCATTATATTTCTACTGGATAGTTTAGATTTTTGTGGATAGAATGAGATATACAGAATTGGATAGTTACAAACAGAAGCAATTTTCAACGATCCATCCGATCCAAACGACTAAATGAGGCGGATTTCAATAACATAAACCGCTTCGAAACAGGATCTCGTCGTCGTTCATCGTCGACAGGGTTATCTATATTTGAATAATAGGAAAAATGGAGGCAAGAGTCCCATAGGATGGCGGCCCTAACCAGAATATAAAGGGGAACAAGATTCTATAGCCCCGAGTCTACAGCACCGTATACATGACCATCGTACGAATTATGAGAGAAACTTGATCAGGACCGGAACAGAGACCGGAGGTGGGAAGCGAACGGAACAAAGGACCTGACATCGGCCGAACATGCGCACGTTCGAAACGCGTTAGGGTTACGCAACAGCCAAGCGGTTAGGGCCGAGATGGGCCGGATCGGACCCGACCGAACGGACGACGATGGTAGTGGAGGTCGATGGTGAGGCTGGTTGGGTGGGGCCATCGTCGTCGGCCGACCTGACATACAATCAAGGCCATTGGCTGGAGGCGGAGTCAGTCAGCCAACGGGCCAGCCCCGCCAATCCAACAACGACGGCTGCTGCGATAGGACATTTACGTGTAGCATATTGGTTAGAGCTGTCCGACGGTATGTACAAGGTCATTAGTTCTACCTCGTGCCTGGGACTAGGACCTAGCCCTTCACTGCTCCACGAATGGACGGATTAGTTGCCAAAGTTAGGCTGGTGCAAAAGTAATTGCGTTTGAAATTGTGCTGAAACCGCAATTATTTTTGTAATTTGTTCAAAACGGCG